GACACAAAGGTAGAGAAAAAGGTAAGGTAAGTACTGTGGAGGTGGTCGAATATGACAACCATGGAGGTCGTGGTAGTTTGAAGTCAGAAGTCAAATGTCGGATAATAGACTTTTTTGCGTATGAGTATACGTTGCCCAGGGTGCACCACGTGGAGGTAAGTCTATCGCATACCCCACGTCGAAATTATGAGTGCATTGAAAAGGGATTGGAAAAAAACGCTGATAAAATCCAATCGCATAATTTCATATAAATATTTTAGAGAACTGTAACGTTTAAGTAGTGTTTCGAATGCTTGAATTCTTCCCAATAGCCCATATGCATGACACATTTTATGAATACGAGTTGATTTTGCGCTTTATGAGATAAAGTTTAGAATAATATTCTAAACTCGACTAGATTTCAATGCAACTTGATCAGAACAATAAAATTGATCTCGATAAACTTGATATGACCAATTTGATTGCAGTATGGCACGAAGAGTCGACTTTATGTCCAACCGGGGGCGGTTGAGGATAGCGATAGATGATACGAGGAGACGCGGTGGTGGGGCAATTTTAGCAAAGCGGTTACTAGTCGCCTAGTTAATAGTTGAGCAAGTTTGGCTGAGTTGATCATTCCACCTACGCAACTAACTGCTCCGCTTTTAACTCATAGCTCTACCAGAGGGTAATTTAAACCGGCACAACTATTAGTTTATTACTATATGGTTAAGTAAATAACCAAGTATTCAGCAGATATTGCCAATAAAAATCGTTTTTGTAGGAGTTCTAAACTTCTTTTCAGTATAAAGACAGAGAAACGATTAAATTAGTTCCCATTAAAAAAATGAACCCTAAAAGTAATATATTTTAATGCAACCCATTTTTGATTAAAAATCATATTGATACCAAATGACAGGCGTTTTGATAGTTATCACTAGCCCTTGAGTTGACTTCAGGTTTCACGGAGGGGAAGGAACATCAAAGTGACAGAAAGTCGATATGGGGGGGGGAGGGAACAGAAGAGTGCTTCACAGATGTAAAAGACACAGTCACAAAGGTTGAAAAGTGATGAGGTGAGTACTGTAGAAATAGTCGAATATGACTTGGAGTGGGTTCATGGTAGTTTGAAGTGAGAAGTTAGCTGCCGGTTAATGAACTTTTTGTCGTATGAGTTTATGTTGCCCAGTGCGCACCACGTGGAGGTAAGTCTTCGCACACCCCAAAATTACGAATCATACAAGTGCCAATAAGTGCGACAAATGTCTAGGAGATTTCTTTTCTTTGCATCTGTTCATTTAATACGAAGCTATAAATTGTCTTTTAGAAAGAACTAATTGCAGCCTGCTTAAAGGTTCTTGAAGGGATTGGTGTTGATGTACACGATGTCTCGGTTGAAGGTGAGCACTCTGAAACTTTAATTTGATCTGAATTGTTAATAATACATTTTTATTGGGGTGATTCAATACTCTTCATTTTACAACTGATTAGACCTTTAATTCCAATAAATGAATGAGAGCAGGTCAGCTCGCTACTTGGCAAGTTGAACAATATGTTCCGTCGTGCAGAAATATCCGATTGTTCTAGCATACTTTAAGCCGTGAAAAGTAGGCACAATTAAGAAATAGACTAAACATAACAAATTAGCAAATACTGCATAATAGCAGAAATGTTTGACGAAGTTAACCAAGCCGATCCTAAGTAGGGTTTTGTGACTTCTTCCAAAATTATTATTATTTAACTAAATTTGTAGAAATTTTTCTAGGTTATCAATTGGGTAGTAAAGTGCAGGAGCATTGTTAGGAATTGTCTTTGTGTAAACTGTCTTAGTATTGATTAGTTGACAGAGAAATGTTTAGAAAGCGCATAAAGACTGACCGGAAATGCAGTTGTTAAATGTAAAAGTTATGAGTTCAGTTTCTCAATAGAGGGTAAGTTTAATGAGTCTAAACACCAGATTACTGATAGCTGTTACTCATACAATAATTCCAATGCAGTTCGCATCATCATTTTAAACATATTAAAGAACACTTCGAATGGTAAATGATGAGAAATAAAAAAAATTATGCAAGATATTTCCCACTTATGCCAATGTATATCTATTACCACTTAATAAATCACTCAGAATTTAAATAAATGTTAAATTAACATATCTTAATTTCTTCTATGTGTGACCTGAGTACTTAAGTCTGTTTAGAAATAGCGACTATTTGATGTTTTATTACTTAAAAAAAGCACTTGTGAGTAAATAGCCTGCTATAGCCAGCTATTCCACACAAAAGTTTGTAGTTTAGCATTAAATTTAAACAAAATTATCAAAAACGAAAAATTTCTTTGCACGGTTATGATACTTATTTGTGCAGCTTTTTAATAATAGAGGAAATCACATTCATTTGTCAAAATAATGATGTATATCCCAATTGAACTGCAATGGTTTAATTCCTACAAACCTATCGAGCCAAGTATTTTTTAGGCATAATGAGTGGTCGATTAAAGTGCATACTTGGACTATTTTTCAACCTCTCCAAATTCAAACAAAAACTTCGAGAAAGCCAATATCAACAAAAATCGCTCATTCCCACCGGAATCCCTCAAAAGTTTACGGAATCTTCGAACACTTCTACCAGTTTGGATAGTCCTGACAGTGATAAAAGATATGTTACTCCACCAAGTTCCGTTCAAAGTAGTATTCAATATCAGCCCAGGCCTACAAGTGATCCCCAAGCCTTCAAGAAGTCCACTGAGTCAAAAAGTCGTTTACCTGTCCCACGTCAAAATCGAAACAAGTAAATCAGTTTTACTTATTTTAAATAAGTAACATTTAACACTACAAAGTTACATTCGCCATTCCGAAAATGATTCGTTGCTACTCGTCCAATCAAATTTTGCCCATTGGTTTTGGTTGGGACTTTACGGGAATTAAATTTAACTTTTATTCTTCCGTATATGCATATATAGAAATTTTCTACCGGATTTACCTCAATCAAAGATTCCTGAAACGGAAACAATTTCATCAATCCCGACTCAATCACTTCGCTCTCCACAGCCAATCAAAAGTCTAAAACCGATTCCTATAAGATTGACAAATTCTACTGGTAAGCAATTTAAATTAAAATCTTTAGATTGATAACTTTCTATTTATATTTAATAATAAATGGTATTTTAAATTAAAGGTGACATATTTTTTTGAAATATCTACCTATTTTATACATTACTAATCCCAAAGTTATAATTAGGTGTCAAAAGATTGTAATTCATGATTAAATATATTCTTAGCTTTAAAGATGCCTAGCTGAAATTAGTACTTTTCTTTAAATTTTTGGTGAATATTTACTAACTATTAACCAATCAATGTTCTGAGTGAGAACCGCAAAAGTCTCATTTTCCAATCAAGTATTCTAAAATAACAGAGAGGAATTTTAAGCAAATAAGATCATATAAGATATCACAGAATTTGACATTCGAGATCTCGAAAAAATTATTCTTTAAAACAGAAGAGCTAAAGTCTAACTAAGCAACAAACTAAGCAGTCGCCCGAGAATTATTCGTTCGTATTTTTTTAGCTTTTACCATTAAAATGGTTCATAAAGGCTTTAATTGTGAAGAACCATCATTTTTACTAGATAAGGATTTATCACATATTAAGCTAAGTCAAATTGGTCATTTTGAATAACTGTTTTTTTTCATTTTTCAAGAGAGGTTGGTAAAAGTTCATGTGTAAGGATTAAGTTTTGAATTTACAGTTCAAATTCTGTTAGGTTGATACGAAGTTATTATGCTTAATTTGACGTTATTGCTTAAGAGTTAGCAACTCTTCCGAAAAAAAGTAGAAATGATATTCGACTCGTGTTTACCGGAAATTATGCATTGATATTTTTAATAATTTGTTGGATGTTCAAATTATTTATGCTAATATTTATATTTTATTTCAAATAGCTGGCGGTTTGATAGTTATCATTAGCCCTTTAGCTGGCTTCGGGCAACATAGAGAGGAGGAAGAACATCAAAGTGGCAAAATGTCCAAAGAGGGGGACAGAATAATGATTTACAAAAGTGGAAAAGACAGACACAAATGTAGAGAACAGGTAAAATGAGTACTGTGAAAGGGGTTGAAGATGACATACAGTGCGGTCATGGTAATTTAAAGTGAGAAGTCAACTGCCGATTAATAGACTTTTTTGCCGTATGAGTATACATTGTCCAGGGTGCACCACGCACACTCCATCTAAGTCAATATAAATCAACTGTTATCACTGAATGTTAAGGATATATCCTCTAACCAAAATTTTGAAGCACCTGAAGCAATGTTTTAGACCTTCGTGAAACATGGAAACATTATTAGCAGCTAATAAAATTCAATTCTGATATTTTATTTAGTTAGTGAAAATACAAAAACAATGTAGATAGTTGAATAATCACGGAAGAAATGGGCTAATACATTTTCAACGTGATTCAGTGATCTTATTACTTTTATATTAGGGTTTTCATGTTTGCCCTCTTCGACTAATATAGGTAATTTCTATATTGGAATAATTGGTTTCTTGTCATTGGTTTTCAACTTTTCTTATATCTGAGACGACACCAACGCGTTACTTAATTAAGTTAAATTAATTGGTTGGTCACACAAACTCTAAACAACTACTGCTTGATTAAGGGAACTTTAGTAGCTCTTAGAATACCATAGTCTGTTACTGTTTGCTCCTCTTAAAGCTTTCGATTAATTTTGGCCACCTTTCATATTGAGAAAAAAATGATAAACTGTGTATCTATTTAATTATATCCTCGGTTTAATATTTTAACTTGCTTGTAACATTTTGCTTGGTAAGATGCATAATAGAAGTCCGAATTTCTTTACTTCCCTATCCTTTCAACAGGAAAAATGTGATTTTATTAATTGTGTGGGATGACATGCCAACTAGCGGTTATCATTTATGCTTCGATTTTTTTTGTTTAGGGGGGGGGCGTGTGTATATACACATTCATTTGCATAGAAACAGTCTATTTCTGAAATTGAAAACCTCCCTGATTCCATTTTAAAGCATTTATTTGGATCATTTACGAGTAATTATTACGTGTCAATTAGAAAAGGGCGTTATTTCAAATTCGTTTAGGTTCATTTATTAAATTTCATTTCACTATTAAAGCGTTGCATTTTAGCAATTCATTAAAAAAAGAAACGAAATTTATTTACTCAAGTTAAAATGCGAAAAATCCGCTCAGTAGGATTGATTATTGTCTACTTTCTTGTCTATCTGGTTTAATACTCACTGGTTGAAATCCTAATCCTCAAGCAATGATACTTTGACTCATCAAGATGCTATCATTTCCTTTAAGTAGGCTCGTCTGGGTCCAACCACCAAACCATGCTTCCAATTGGTCGTATTCCGACAGCGGTTGCTAAACCCCCCACAGCGTCTCTGCCTCAACCCACCGCTATTCAAACTCGCTTCTTCACGGAATTCTCCCCGCAAAAGCAGCTTCGGAAACCTGTGGCAACTGAAGTAGGTCCTTTTGCTTTTAAATCCTAAAATAGAGAAGGTATGATTGAATATACTTTTCATTTAAAAATTTATCCAATTTAAATTGAAACATTTTTTATCCTTTCACAGATCAATCTTGGTTAATAGTTAGTTAGAAATTTGAAAAATTAAAAAGATCATGACATTTCAGTTTATCAACGCAAAAAATACATAATCTGCAGAATATCAAGTGGGATCACCTTAAATTTTCAACTCTAGAGGGAACTTCTAAATTTGGTGAACATATCGGCAATTGATATCGACAAAAAATATGCCAAGCACTTTTCGTGATGAAGTGAACTTGAATTTTGAAGTAAGAATTGCACGTTAAATAAATCTCGTGGATTTTAAAGTTGTTACACGAATGAAGTAGTACAAGCTGATAACTTGAATTTCCTTTGAACACAATTTCAAACCCCTTGTCATTAAGATTTCCTGGATTTCATACTGGTTTTGTCGCGAATTATATTAATGATGTAATAATGTTCTTTTAAGAAACGGAATTTTGGCCCATGGAATGCACACAGTAAATGGGAACAGTGTGGGAATTTAATTGTGGGAAAGAAATTGGAGCTGGGCATAATAAGGTAAATGTATTAAGAACTATTCCATCGAAGCAAATTTTGCATTTTTGTATTTTTGAATTATGGCTTAATTCAATAAAATTTTCTCCCAAGAAATGATGCCTCAATAAGCCCACGCTTTGAACACAATTTTTATAAATGGACACTCAATTCATTTATTTATTTTTAATAATTACATTAGGAGAAAGACTAATCAGATACTGTAACAGTAATTCTTAAAATAAACTGCCAGAAATCGGTCATTTCAATCGGTGATATATTTCGTTCTCTCCATATTTGTTTAAATCAATTTTCAATTCACGTTCGTTGCATACCTCTACTGACATATTTCCAAATATTTTAGAATGTACAGTTAATTACTGTTACTAAACTGCGACCTTTGTGTGTACTATTACAGGCTTAGCCTAGTTAAAGACTTCCTAAGGCTAGTTTAACCTGCGTTTAATAGTAGCAACCAATTTACAAATGAAGGTACTTTTTTTCAATGAAGGATATTGTACACTTGTTAAATTTAGCCTAATGCATAGCGTTGTCTAATTTCAGAAATTATGAAAACAATTACCAATCATATCAGAAAATTGAATTATGAATTAGCGATAACCATAATAAATAACAATAACTTCATAAAACTCATTGCGTAACTCTAAATATAAGTGACTTCGTGATACTCAGGTTACTTTATTTAATCAGTCATGAGGTTAGATTCAAGTCATTTTGTCTAATTTGTAAGTGCAAATACAAATTAAAATATGGGATATCATGCCTTCACTACTCTAATCGTTGAGAGAAATGTTTGAATCGTGACAGCGTATCTTGAAACAACGATTTCTAAGTCTCGGTTGTGATTCAAGTCACTGAGATCCTTAATCCTCAATTTCATACGATTTTCGAAGAGTATTCTCCCATTCCAAGGCTTTAAATCATTTTCAAGCGCTGTTTTCTCCAGAGTGATTTTCATTGACGCTTTCAACTTTACTCGAAATTGGTCTGTTTGTATAAGAAATTACACATAGGAATCCAACAAGATAAAAAGGTTACCTTGAGGTGACACTGTACCAATAGACAATGCAACATAGTGATTCGCACTTGGAATTTATTTTGTCTATGTTTGTATAGTTATGGCATACTTCAATATTTTTTGCGAAAATTGATTAGCTAGCAGTTGTAATGAAAATGAATGCGGTTGATAATATCCTTAATAATTAGTATTTTTGCAAATTGGGTAGTTGATACATTATTGGCTAGTTGTCAAATCGATACAGTTTACCTTATATTTCTTTATTTCTTCTGGCATTCGAAAGAAAACACACAAAAAAATCATAAATATATGACCTCCCGATGGAAAAATTTGACGAACAAAATCTGCGCTATTCAAACATGTATAAGTATTTGGTCGAGTTTCAAATCTTATCCATAAACTCCACTAGGCGTTAAGTAGAGTAAACCTTCAAACAGTTCAGCTTTGCTTTGTATTAAATAAAAATGTTTTCAATTTTGTGCAACAACAATTGTTAACGCAGAGTGCTAAATGGTTTTTGATGTACACGTGGTGCTTTTAATTCTCACTAAAGGGCTGCAACATCTATAAATGGTGCATCGGTTAAATCTGTGAACGATAATGCGTTTCGGCGTTTACTTATCAATTGGAACACTTTCCTTTTCATTGAACGCCTTTTGAATATTTGCTTTGAAATAATGTGCGCATTCGATAATATCACCTAGTGAAGATAAAAACAAAGCACAATATCTAGGCCAAATTTGGACTACATGACACAATTTAGATCAGACTGCATTTGTTTATTTCGGTGAAGTGTGAAAACACTCGAGTCTATTGAGAGGATTATTTTCCAAACTAAACTTGATAGATGAGAAGGCATCTTCCACTTTTGGGTGGAGTTATTCTAGTTGTCCAGGTTCAACTAGTTGGGTATATCACTTGCATTGGTGGACATGGGTTATTTTATTTCTGCCTCTGCAGAATCAGATGCAATCCGCTGGGAAAAGTATCTCATATTTCCGTCATACCTCATTTTTGTAATTAACAAGGTTATTTTTTCAGCTTTACCATAACAAATGGTAGATGCCCTTCAAATTGGAAAGATACTAAATATTTATTTCACTGTAAGTCTACCAACTTAATTCACACATTCGAGTGAAGCACCCAGGCTGACAATTGTGGAAAATTAGCTCTAAAATTCAAAGTGATACCTTCTATTTGAGCAACTTTGTTTATTTATTTAAAATGGCAGGCGCTTTGATAGTTATTATTAACCCTTTAGCTGGCTTTGGGCATCACAGGGAGGGGGACAGAATGATGTTTCAAAGAAGTGAAAGAGACAGACAAACTGACACAAAGGCAGAGAAAATATAAGATAAGTACCGTGGAGGGGGTTGAAGATGACATGCAGTGGGGTCGTGGTAGTTTGTAGTCAGTAGACAACTGTCGTTTAATAAACTTTTCTATCTTATGAGTATACGTTGCCCAGGGTACACCACGTGGAGGTAAGTCTATCACACACCCCTCCCCATTAATATTATGACCAATTTAAGGTATGAATATTAAGCCAAATAATTCCACCAAAATGTGCATAATAATTGAAAATTAGTTCAATTTGGTTGGTAAGGTCAGATGTTCTTAGGAGCGCAGTCCTGATGTTTCCTTGGCGAAATAATTTATTCTTTCAAATGGCAGACTTTATGATATTTATCATTAGCCCTTAATCTTTGACTTCAGCTTCCCCCATGGGTAGGGGGTACATATATAGCAGTTAACTAATAGCAGTTCATTACACCCAGGGGTGGGGGGTGCATATATAGCAGTTAATTAATAGCAGTTCATTCTATCATTAGCCCTTAAACTTTGACTTCAGCTTCCCCCAAGAGGGGGTGGGGTACATACATGTAGCAGTTAATTAATAGCAATTCATTAGCTGTCTTCTTGCGGCAGTTAATTAATAGCAGTTCATTAGCAGTCTTCTTGCTTAACAGTATCTCTGGCTTTCCGTCCTTGTCTTTAGAGCTGGATTACATTTATAGCGGTTAATTAATAGCAGTTCATTAGCAGTCTTCTTGCTTCCCCGTACTCTGCTTTCAGCTCATTAGCTGTCTTCTTGCTTCCCAGTATCTCTGGCTTTCTTGCTTGTCTTTAGAGCTGGACACCGAATCAGGTGGGTCTTCCTTGTCTTTAGGGCTGGACACCGAATCAGGTGGGTCTTCCTGTCTTTAGGGCTGGACACCGAATCAGGTGGGTCTTCTATGTCTTTGGGGCTGGACATCGAATCAGGTGAGTCTTTTCCATTTCCTCCTGTAGG